TGGAAAAGATGCTCTGTGGCTGGTGAGATGTACGCGGCGCGAAAGAAAGAGGTAATTGAAGTTCGGTCCGCGCGCTCGACCGCGACCAGCGACGGACAACCCACGACAGGCATTCGGACGGGGCCGCTGGTCTGTGGGGGGGCCGAGGTCTGAACGGAGGATCCCCAGATTCGAGTCATGAATTCTAACCGCGACGTTCGGCAGATTGACGTTGACAGCGGGCCTACAGGATCTCGGTGATTGACAGCTGACTGCAGTGTGGGAAGTCCATTCATCGCACGTGAGCCATACTAATGGTTTGTTACACACGAACTTACATAATGTTATCAGCTTCGGACGGGATTCGATTCAAAAATGTGGCATGTCATATATTTTTGTCACAGGTTCAGAAACATTAGAAAAAGACTGTCAGTATTCATAGCAACGCATACGTAATGGCAATTTTGCTCGAAATGTATCGAAAAATGTCATTATACTAATTCAATTAACGCCGTGGTGGCACAACCAGTAAATACCAACTACTCTGTCGCAAGGACCGGCGCTGGAAAGGATTCTGAGCTCCTTCGAGCTTCACCCAAGGCCCGCAGTCTGCTTCCGTAACCGTCAACTTCAACTTATTCTCGAGTCTCTATCTCGATCTTCAAGGTAGACGTTTCCCAGTAGGTTTGCATGCATATTCCCCTCCCTGTCCTACCTACATGTCCAGCCCATCCAAGCCTTCTCATAAAAATATAGAGTGTCCTGCATAAATCACGCAGTCGTCCTGGTAACTTCACCATTCTTCTCAGGCGTACTTATTTTTCGGAGAAATTTTCCTTTGGAATAAGCCGACTTGTGATTAATGATCGTATCGCATGAAACGGGCGACGTTTCACACTCGCAGTCACTATTTTGTGAGCTGTGAATTTTAGGGTTCTCGAAAGGTAAAAGGCTGGTATAAATAGTAGCTCATTACGCTACATCGTGGACATCTTCTGGATTGTGGCGCTACAACCCAGAAGACAGCCACATTCGTACTCACCGCCTTGCGAACCTCAGGTCATTGACAAATCCGCTCTGAACTGACACCTGTCAGCAGAATGTCTGTGGACCAACCGCAACCCCCGCGTTATGTGTCCACGTTCCTCTGTGTGTGTGACGTCATTCTTCGACGCCGTCTCCTCCCTTGTTACAGGAGCAGTAATTAATCGTCTTGAGCAAGCTCGAAAAAGTCGCTGTCGCATTGGGATACCTCAGAAGTATTGTAAGATTTCCGTTCTCGCTTACGGACGCTGCTGAGGGAACTTAAACTCGAGGTTAAAATGAAAAAGGTACGAAGACATTCTATTGTGAACAGTAACATTTCGCGAGAGTTTAATATCAAAATGAATAATCGATTTAGAAGGTTACAAGTCGAAGAACATTTAAATTACGTAAATATTTCGTGTTAATGCCTTTATTCGAAGCTCGGAATGAATGATATTTGCCCGTTTCATCTAATTCACGCCATTGGACTGTTTTTTTTTTTTGTTTTTTTTCAATTTTAAAATCAATCGTCTGTTGCTCTAAGAGAGACTGTTCAAATACGAACCAAATTAAACTCTTATTCCGATTAAAAACAATGATTAAAAGGGTGCAGAAAAGTAAACTTCAATATCCGAGTATAAATATTAGTCCATCACGAGGATAGGCGGTTTCAATTTAATTAGAAAAACAGATTTTTCGTTCTAGTAACTTTCCATTGTCTTTACACAAGTCATTTCATTTTGATTTTGATTTTCGACATCCTAACCTTCGTCTAATTACGAGCCGTGGACGAACTTCGGTCGGATTGAACAAACAACGCCGACCGTACACACGGCTGCAACTGACGAGCACAGTACAGTAATGACAATAATATTTGCAACCTAACAGCTACTTGTGGTTTATTTAGACACACGCTGAATCTAGAGTAACAAATGCGAACAGTTCTTTGGCGGTTGCCAAAACTTCATTGGAATTGTTCAAAGCAGTTGTCTCTTATGGCTGTTTTTGCACAAAGTGTAAATTAGTGTTCCGTGGAACGTGGACAATTTATAAAACTCACAAATGTTTATCAATTATTAAATTTTTTGCTCGGACATTCATACCGCATTTTATCAGAATCCGTCCAGCGGTTCTCGACTCATTTGTTTCGTATGGCATGACACGTCACAGTGGGCGTTGAACGGATTCTTTTTAAAGCAAATCTGCATTTTGTGTTTTTCATATGGTTCTCAAAACAAATAGCCACTGACCGCGTGTACGCCATTAACCGATTCGTTTTTTTATTTCTGAGGGAGGAGCTAAATTTTAAAATATTATTTAGACGGGCTTGTTCTGTTTTATAGCCCACTTATTCTGTACTGTGAAGTCGAATTGTGAATGTTGCATTGTTTTTAGTTAAAATCGCTGTTTTTACACTGATCGCCTTACCTCCCCAACAGGAATGGCCGTAGCTGAGGCACGAACCTGCAAAACAGACGAAAAGACACGTTCAAATTCACAAATTTAAATCAGAACTAATTGTTTTCTACAAGCGGACAAGAGAAATGCTAAACGATAAACACACAGTGGAATAAATGACAATTTAATAATTTGTCCTTTACGTTCTATATTCCTGATACTGGGTACTGGATGGGGAGACCTAGACGTAGATGGGAGGATAATCTCAGGCGGGATCTATGGGAGATAGGAGTTGAAGGAGACTGGATTTTGTTGGCCCAGGACAGGGTCCGGTGGAGGGCTTTGGTTAATTCGGTGATGAACCTTCGGGTTTGGTAAGCCATCGAGTTAGTTACTTAGGTTAATAACTGACAACACAGAATGCCCAGAACAGAGAACCTACTCGGAATTGAATTCCACTTCCGAGGTCAGGGCTATAACCCATCTTCTGGCAAGAATCTCCTCACCAAAAATCAGTCATTTTCTTCTGCAACATTAAACCGTCCAATTTCCGATCGTCCACACATCTTTTGATCGATCAAGTCCCAAGTTTAGAGTGAACGACTTGTTAAAGTCCTGATATGAAGGAAACCTGAGGTAATATCGCCTGTGACTGCTGAGTAGACCAGGGTTTGTGATGTATACTGTTAAAACGTCTCACGTACATGATATTCAGAGGTCGGCCATATTTGCCAGGGTATCGGAAGTGACATCACCTGCCTTCACCTCTACTAAGAAAGTGAACGCGCGAGAGGGTGTGCTTCACTGGTAATGGAATGTGAGAGAGAGAGGCGTGGCTTTTTTCACGAGTTGGCTAACGGTCAGGCCTGTGTCAGTAGCTCACTTTTTGCACGGTCTAATCAAAGAGTGATTAAGAATTAATTAATAAATTGTGACGATACGGAAGGAAGCGGTCATGTTGTACTTCAGTGTCGTGTCTCGGCATTTGACTAGAGTAACTGAGGAAAACCACAGTGTTGGTTCATTAACGGCCTGCTCGCTGCCTCTTCCAGGGGCTTCGAGTTCCTCCAAGGGGTGGGGTGGGGCAGTGTTATTCGCGGAAAGTCTGATTAACTGACGGCGTACTAACGTCGTTTGCAGAGCTCAGACCGCGCAGAACGCGGACGAGGGCATTTGATATTAATCGACGAGACGATGAAAGGGCAGATGTAAATTTGCAGGACTCTGAATATTTCAGCAGATGCGGCCAGATGTAATTCAGATGTTGGCCGCAAGCGTAAAGCGACTTAAAACAAACAATTGTTGCGGCGTGGGGGTTGCCTGCTTTTTAGGAAAGATGCGACAGACAGACAGACAGACATGGACGGGACCACAAGTTATTCTTCTCCAGAACATGAGGAACACAAAAAAGCCGCGAATATTAAAAAAGTAGGAAACTATAATTTTACGTTTTGTTTCTTACAGTTGTTGAACCTGGTATATCCCGTTAAGTGAAGAACCCGCATTGAGGTTAGGTTAGGTACAGAGTACTCAGGAGAATATTTGAATCTAAGAGGGGTGAAGTTTCCGGAGGGTGGAAATAATTACATAATGGGGAGTCTTCATTTAACACAGTCAGTGGTCAGTCCCTGTTACCTAGAACTATGTGACCATCTGCGATCAGGCAGTAATCGGCCTTGGAATGAGGTTCGCGGTCCCAGGTGTCATGGCGCTGGAAGAATTGTCTTTCGGCACAGCTGTTGATGAAGAGACCAGAATTTAGCCACTTCGTAAATCTAATAATAAATTTTAGCTCTGACAGGTTATGGTCCAGTGGCCGACGCAGGTCTCAAAATGCTTGCACAGATGTTTCTCGAGCAACAAGACTTCGCAGACTGTCTAGTGATCATGGCGTCGAAGAGCAGAATTGTACTTCTAATGTTTCAATTGCAGTAGTTATCTCGGCGACCGTGGCGCTGTTACTCTGGGTTCAGAATCAGAAGGTTAGGTTAGGTTAGGTTAGGTTGATTAGTCTCCGATGGCCTGACATCCTTACAGAAGTTTAATGGATAATGGCTAGTTAAAACATCATTAGGGGCACAGGCAACACGCACGACGCTGTCTCTCGACGCCATTAACCGCATTTTCCTTATGTTGCATGGGAAAGGATGAACGGGTACCAATCCTTTAGCATTCACCACGCTCTCCTCAGGATGGATGCACTTAATTACTTAAGATGAGTTCTAATGTTATCCTCGTTAAAAATAGCTGCCCTCCTTCCTCGGGGTTCTCCGTCAGAACACCGCATGTTCCCTCATCCCCTGGTCCAGCCCATCTCAACAGCGTCCGATGGCCTCGCGTTCCTCCACTTTAACTTAACTCGTCTCGTCTGGGCCGTTCAGACGAATCCGTTCGGTCACGGGCGTTCGGGGCGGACGGCTGTGAAGTCCGACCCCCTAAAACGAGTAGCATCCGTACTCGGTCGTCTCTCCTTGCGCAACCTGAGGACACGTCGTGTCTTCTGGTGGTCTAGCTGCCGACGTTTCGGACAACCTGATTAAAGTTGTTAGTCAGTATTCCCTTGAACACATGGAGACTTGCATTCCAAGAGTGCTGTGAACATTTCTATTCATTACATCTCATCATAAAATCACCGAAAGGTGCAGCCGAGTGAGTAGCATTCCTATCGACTTTCCGTCTTCCGTTTTGTTTGCCAACAAATATTTTGCGTTGAGGTTTATTACGACATCGCACAGAGGACTCACTAACTTAGTCGTTTAAAATTTATTTTTATTCCATTAAGTGCCGAAGAGATGTCCACGATCTTTGCTTTACGGAATAAAAATGAGTGTTCGTCGTGACTTTGACGTGAGCCGCCTTAAGCAGCGCGCACCTCCGGCGTCGGCGCGCACACACACATCCGTGTTAAAGCACGTGACCACGCCTATGGAGACATCTGGGAATACTTGCGGCTGATTACGGGAGCCTTGATGTGTTAAAATTAAAATTAAAATTAAAACAGAAGCTATCACGACGAGATTACACGACGTGACACACATAAGCACATTGGGGCCACGGGTTCAGTTTCGTAGTGAAGGTCTCGGTGATGCTCGTTTATCCGGCAATTCAGCTGTCACTAGCTCAGTCTCTCATCTTCACTTTG